GTGGCTCAGGTCCGTGCTTTGTGGCATTCTTTGGGGGAGGCCTATGTTCAGCAGTGGACTTGTGAAGGGCTGTAATGATGATGATGATGATGATGATTGTATCTGTCTTTCATTTGTATAGATTTTAGCTTAATAAGAGCCTTCTTATACTACTTGGTATATATATATATATATATATATATATATATATATATATGTCCTCGTGGCGTGAAGTTACTAAAACTTCACAGATTACCCCCTAAGTTTACTTTACTACTTTACTTATCTTCACGCACAATCCCTGACGGGGTAGCCAGAGAGAACACGCCAAGTGTCACGATCCTTACAAACCTCTTTCGCTTCTTTCAGATTCATTATCTTCTTCATGCATGCACGTCGAAGTATCCGAGTACTTTTGACCCTACCCTCTTCGAGCAATTTGCTCACATGGTCTTCGAAAGTTAGTCTCGGTCTACCTCGACACCTTTTAATATTAACTTTCGCGCTATATATTTTCTTCACCATTCGGTCTTCACTCATTCGCTCAACGTGCCCAAACCACCGAAGCACGCCCTTATCAATTATTGTGATAAGGTCATCTTTCAAACCTGCCATATTGCGAATCTCTTCGTTTCGCTTTCGGTCGGCCATGGTAACGCCGCACATTTTACGAAGAGATCGCATCTCCACTGCATTCAACTTACTTTTATGCTTCTTCTGGCATACCCAGGTTTCGCTGCCATATAACAAAGTCGGTACCAACACTGCGTTATGTATTGCAAGGCGTGCACTCTTCGCTACGCCTTGCCTTTTGACTAACGCAGTCAGGGCACCATTGACTTTGTTCCCGGCAGCGACATGCCTGTCCACATCTAAATCACATCTTCCATCCCGGCTAAAAGCACTCCCCAAGTATACAATTTCATTTACCTCTTCTAGACATTCCTGATTTACCCATATTTCACACTTCGTTCTCTCTTCGTCCCTTTCAAATACCAGAACCTTAGTTTTATTAGCATTCAAACGGCGACCTTTAATTTCACATTCCTCTTTCATACACGTGACTAATGCCTGCAGTTCTGCCTCTGATGGTGCAATAAGCACTGCATCATCAGCATACAGCAGACAATTTACTTTAATGTCACCCAATTTCACACCCAAACAACTATCTTTCAGCTTCTGTAAACAGCTGTCGAGATACAGTATGAACAGCCAGGAAGACATGACACAACCCTGCTTTACGCCCGTTTGGACGTTAAACATGGATGACAGGTCATGCCCTACCCGCACACAGGCTTTACAGTCACAGTAAAGAGACTGCACAGCCCTTAGCAATTGACCATCCACACCATACCCCGGCAACAGTTCCCACATTTTCTTCCTTACAACCTTATCAAATGCTTTCTCAAGCTCCACAAAAGCACAGAAAATCTTCTGGTTAGCAGCCAGAAGCTTTTCCGTGATCATGCGGAGAGAAAACATTTGATCCGTGCATCCTCTTCCAGGTCTAAATCCGCATTGTGCCTCCCATAGAAATCTTTCCGATTTCTCTTGCATCCTACGTGTCAAAACCTTCGAGTAAACTTTACTTGCTAAACTGGTCAAGCTGATCGCCCGATAGCACCCGCAGTCAAAATGTGAACCTTTACCTTTATATAAAGGCACAATGACTGCGGATCGCCAATCATCCGGGACATCCCCTGTCCGCCAGCACAAATTGCACAGCAGATGAAAGCTGTCCCAGACGCGAGGCCCACCATACTTAACCATTTCAGCAGTAACTCTGTCTAGTCCAGCAGCCTTACCACATTTCAAACTTCGAATCGCACGTTCAATCTCTTTCATACTGATGACCTCAGTGTCATCGAGGTCCGGGTCTAGCGTACCAGTCACGGCGTCATCCCCGGATCCCTCACTAAGATCATCACAGGCATACATTTCTCTATAAAATTCGCTCCATCGCTGCATGACGTCCGATTTTTCTGAGAGGACGTCATTAGTTCTCGAAAGCACTTTGTTCATTCTTAAGGCCGTCGCACCACTTCGGGCCCTTCCAACCTCTTTCCAGAAGAGTTTGGAGTTCTCCTTAAAGTTGTGCGACAACCTTTCGTCCGCTTCCATTCTACACCTTTCACGCACTTCCTCAATCAGTGCTTTCGTGTGAACTTTCTGCAGCCTATATCTTTCTTTCATCTTCTCTCTCATATTCATTATCATTACTAGAGGCCAAGTAGTCTAACCATGCTTTCTTCTTCTTCTTTACAGTTTCTTTCACTTCATCATTCCACCATGCATCTGTTCTTATACCCCCTAAGTAATCTATGTAAAACTTAAAGGTGCCGCTGGTGCTAGCAAGGCTGAATATTTTCTCGCTTAAAAGCTAAGTATAGCCCACAAACTAATAAGAAGGTATAGCCATTCAGCAAGGAAACGCAACCAGCCTTAGAGTAGGCCTGTATAATAATATAAATTTTAATTTTAGTTTCTTTATATTACAGTTAAACAGATTATATAGTATAGTAATTATGAATAAAACTAATATCTAGGTTGTTTAAAATCAATATTACTCGATAATAACAGGAGAGTATACTGTAGCAACGGTGTTTGTTTGGTTGTAACATGCATTATCAACTAATTTACGTACTAAGTACTTTACAGATCACGATCACAACATATTAAACTTTAATAATTCTACGTACTTTATGTTGAAACAAAAAAGTGTATGTATAGATGCGTACATACACTTCTTAGAAGGAAGTTATACTTCTTTCTTTCTTATCTAAAACAAAAAAACTACAGAGACAATTACCCACTGAAGTTGTCGCTCTATATTGTGCGTGTCGGGCCACGCACAATGTAGAGGTAGGGTTTCGTAGTTGCCCGTCACAATACGTGGGCTTTCTTGATAATGTGTATAAGTGACTTCGCTGTTTGACCGCTATAATGACTAAAAATGGGGCCAAATAGGAAGATTGTAACTGAAGGACTTATTTTCAAATCAGCCTTATAGAATGTGGTATTCAAAAAATATTAAGAAGCTTTTAAAAACTATTAAAAAACCGCAAACAAAAAAGTAAAGCTAACAGTAGTAATGCATATAAGTCGTTTTCTTCATAAAATTTATATTTTTAACAGTTTACAATAACATTACAAATTTATTAATGCAGCTAGATTTAGGGCGTTTTCTAAGGAGTTGTAACGAAATTTTTACTAATCCAAGTGCATTTTAAAAGTTGGTCAACTATTACTCGTTAACTTTTTAATTCTGCTTAGCTGTGATAGTTTTCCTTTTAACTTCATTGTATATACTACTATGGTGTATTCTTTTCACATTTACAAAAACAGCGGTTTAGTTGGTAGAAGGGGGGACACATGATTCTAATGAAAAATACCACTTTAAAGCTAAATATTTCGCAAACTCCAGCTCGCAATTTCAGGGGTCCGAATCAAAAAAAGATGTTATTCCAACCCCCAGTGTTTTTGAAAGACCTATCCAACGATACCCCACATGATGGTATAGACGGGTAAAAAAAATCATCCTCCATTTACATATATGGGAAGTACCCAAAATAAAAATATTTTTAAGATCTTATTTCATTGTTTTCTAGGCGTGATTAATATCTATAACTATGACAAATTACAGATTTATAGCTCCTTGGGTCTCTGAGCAAAACCGCGGAAGGACGGACGGACGGACATGGTGAAACTATAAAGGTTCCTAGTTGTGTAAGTGTGTAACTAAGGAACACTAAAAATAATGTAATTTGTGTATCAAATGTCCACCCATGCGAAATATTGATGTAAACCATAGATAACTAAATATGTAGCAAGCTAATGTAAACCACCAAAGAATATATTATAATCACTACTGAAACAACAAAATAAGTGCTCTGCTGTTGATTTATATCTCATGTAAAGTTATTTTGTTCGTAGTTCGTAGGCCTCATAAGATCTTGAGATACTGTCTACATCGCTATTCATGGGATTAAACTGTCTAAAGACTTCTGAAGAAGTTTTATAAAATATTTTAGAGGTTCATATTTGTTACTTGATACTGGCAAAACCATAACCTTACGAGTCCATAACCACAGAAAAAAAGATAAACTATAGATCTTAAGATCAGGGTTCCCAACCTTCAGAGGTCTTCCCACTACACGTAGGGGGTAAATAAATGGGATGGGATTTTTTTAAGGTTTTATATTTTTTTTTACTTTACCCACATTTATTTCTACTTTAGCTGATTTTCGTTTAGAAGTTTACGATGATTGCATTGCAGCTGGCTGTAAACCTTTTGAAAATGTCTCAAAATTCAGGTTGTATGTTTTGCATTAACTATCACGGTGGTAATTTCTTGTTAATTATTGAAATGCTATCTGTACGAGCATGAAATACAATGCAATTGTAACTTATCCAAAATATATTTTATCAGACTTATCAAGCGTTATCAGTTTATCGTCCCCTTAGTGTCCGTACAACCCCGAACACTATCAGATGTGATGATAATCTAATTCACATCAATGAAATAGCTCATTAACATTTATTCTATTTACAAATATGTATGTTTATTTAATATCAAAATGTATTTTAATATGTTGGAACCATCAGGAGAAACCGAAATAATATTTAAAATATTAAATAATTTATATACAAAGAACATTACAAGGCATTGTATTTATTTTAAAATAAAGTAAGGTGATGTTATAGGGGTTTTTAATTAACCTTTGGGGGTAAATATTTTTTAGAGCTGGTAACATTGCTTAAGATTTTAAAAATATTCTCATTTCATCTGTGCTTGAGGTTTAGTAATTTTTCAGTTTTTCCCAATTTTTCACGATTTCACACAATTTCATGCATCTCAATCTATTTTAAGACAAATGATTGATAAGGGATTCCCTAAATTTCTCGCTAATGCTTGATTTTGAACATTATGTCTTTTATCTTTAATCATTAAACAGAACTCGAATAAACCAATATATGAATAAACTGCAGTACAGGGTCTTCTAAAGAGACAATAAAATAATATGCAATGGTCATACAAGTTTTGGAATGGACGATGGGTGTGCACGGGGCTGCTGCTTTTACTATGTGGTCTGGTAGCGGCACAAAACATCGGTAATCCTTACAAGATACTTGGTGTTCATCGTAGAGCAACACTTCCTGAAATTCGTAAGGCGTACAGGCAGTTGGCTAAAGAATGGTTAGTTTATATTATAAACATACATAAATCAATAAATGTGCAATAAAACTGCAGATTAGTTACATTATATTTACATCTAATGTAAATTTAATTTATTGAATATGAGTAATATCAAGTAAATGAAAATCATTACAAATATTGTAATGATTTTCATTTATTTCAACATTACTAAATTAGTAAATTTAATGTGCTGAGGCAGTGTATTAAAACATTAAAACCACAACTACAAAAGCCATTAAGTAGATATTGTATTTTTTTAGTTCTTAGAAATTAATAATTGCTGTTATTAAGAGTTAATAAATTTTACCCTTTTGAATGGACTAAGCTCATAGTAAAAACTAAAATCTAAATAGTTACAACAAAAATTTCATGCTCCTATTATTCTACTCACCTTTACCTGTTCTTACCCTTAGGAGTGCAATTTCAAATTTTTATGGGAACAATCCCTATAATCTTATTATATTAAAATTTGAACCCTTAAAATTTTTCAAAAACAAAAACCTGAAAATTCTCGTGAATTTGGCATATCTTGTAAATTTCTTGTAAACCTGGTAACGGGCAGCAGCCTCAAAATTGAGAGATTTCTAGTATTTCAATTGCAAGGCACTTGGGGTATGTTACAGCAAATCCTCACTTTTATTGGATAGACGATTTTCCATCAGTAAATTTATTTAAGGATTGATAAGTAAAAAGGATGTGCTATCAAGTTTTAGAGGTTAAAACTTAAAAACTGTTGAACCATTTTATTAAATCTTTTTATTTCAAAAACATGATATAAGTGACATTGTTTAAAATTGTAGGCACCCAGACAAAAACGAAGATCCAAATGCTGAGTCCCGATTTGTTGAGATAAAGCAAGCATACGAACTGCTCTCTGACACAGAGCGGCGACAGGCATACGATCTGTATGGCATCACCAATGAAGATGAACACATGTACAAACCCAAACATGACTACAGTCAATATGCAAGGTTTAGGTAAGGGATTTATAAACTTGCTTACAAGGTAGTAAATATAAAAGAATTGCATTAAGATAGTATAAAGTAAGAAATTCACTTCATTATTAGTGTAACAGCTGTAATATTATTCTACACACCATAGCCTAATTGGCCAATAGCTCTTTGGTGTAGGCTTTGATCGCAGTCATTTCTATTTATTATAAGTCTATGTTACTTTAAATGTTACAAAAAATATCTTATGCCCCATTCCACGACATAATAGACTTCTATGCTAAATTATATAACAATTCATCCAGCAGTTCAAGTAAGATTGGAAAAAAAAATCAAAATCAAAATACTTTTACATTTTTAATTTTAAATGCTTATTTAGCTGACTGAGCCACACATTGTTGTGGTTATTTATGTTGTATGGATATGTATATTGTATTTTATATAAAAAAAAAAATAGTTAATCAGCATTAGCTACTCGGTATTAACAAAGGATAAATTAATTTGAAATAGTGCAGTAATTTTTCTTGGCTAAGAAATTATAATCCTAATTTTATTTATAAAAACCAACATAGAACATTCCAGTAAACAGTTCATTATTCAGAAGTAAGGAATTTTACATGGTTGAATCAGACATTCTTGTGTGAGATGTCACTACTGACAATAAACAATGTTTTAGCAATGACCCATTCGAGGAATTCTTTGGCGCGCACTTCAGAACACAGGATCAAGATATTACATTGTTCCACAAATTGTCTGTCACTGCACGGTAAGTTTCAGTTATATCAGTATTTTTTTACTATATTATTTTTTAGAAAATTACTAAAGAGCTTCTTTGTAGAGAACTAACATCTATTAATTACGCTTATACCACATATTGGCATAAAAACAATCATCCCTATCATTTTAGTGACAGTAGCCTATTGGCTAAAATACGATATATACACTAACGGAGAGATTGACACGCAGAATCACATTATTGACGAATTAAGTTGCAACTCCCACATTGTCCCCTGAGAAACCCAACAACCACCTACTAACTAGAATGACGATGAGTATTTGAGGCAAACGTGCAGGACGTCCGATTCAGTGATCATCAATCAGCCTACCATGCGTGATACTTATTTAAAATCCTATGGGAAAGGCCCATGCTGAGAACTATATTCCACCATAGTATCCCTTAATAAATTTTGCAAAACTGAGAACAGTTTGGTGGAAATTTTTCTTGCTATAATTGTTACTGTCACTTTCTTTAGTCCAAAAGATGTGAAAATTATCACTATGGGGTTATCCATCTCAGAGCCTTTTTCTCCTAATGATGCGTTTGGATTGCGAAACACGTGTCTTACAATTGGCGATAATGTTTGTTTCCTAATGTACATGTATATAGTTCATAAAAGCTAATTAATCCTAAATATCCTTAATATAATGAATTATTTATAAATTAATTAATTACAAAGTAACTATAATGTGTATACTATATATATGCAGAGTTATTTTTCAGAGTAGCCAAATTTTAAACTTAAGTGTTCAAATATATAAATACTATGTACTGTTATTGCAGTTTTTGAAAATACGAGTAAATAAGGCTTCTACTTAATGATTTCTTATATTTACACAGTTACAGTTTTATTTAAAAGGCTTCTACTTTTATTTGAAATTATCTCAAATTGAATGTGATTTATGGGCAACAATGTTTTTGCCTACCGATCGACCCTTATGAATGTGTGTGTGCGTAAAATCAAAATTTTGAATTTAAAAGATAAAAAGGACATTGTTTGAGATTTTTTCAATTAAAATTTCTTCAACATTTGCCTATATTACTTATTCTGAATCGTCTCTGCAAATTTGGCCGGTTATTGCAAAATAACCCTGTATAATATTTTATTCTTTTAACTTTATTGTACATAATGGATCTGAACTTCCAGGCATTTTGAAAACCACATAATGGAGAAGAGCGTACACACGCCAGCTTTAGTATTATTCTACACAGACTGGTGCTTCGACTGTGTGCGATCCGCCGCTGCTTGGAGGCGACTGGTTGAGGCCCTACAGCCCTTAGGGATAACTCTGGCTACAGTTCATGCTGGACATGAAGCCAGTTTGGCGAGACGTGTGGGTGTTCATGGAGTACCATGTCTCACTTTTGTTATTGATAAACAGATTTATATTTATAAAGAGGAGTTGGGATCAATGCCGAAGATTTTAGGTGAGTAATAATAATAATATCGTCCAGACCAAATTTAGACCAGTCTCAACGGAGACTAGCTATTTGTGCAGGTCAGGATTAAAGTGCCCATGTGTATGCACAAGCACAGGTGCGCTCTCTATTCCCTCACTCTCATAGTCTGATTGTACGGTAATTCGACACAACCGGAGAGAGATCAAGACCAACGGCTTTACATGCTTTCCGAAACCTGGGTTGAAACACCGCTAACTTCCTAACTCCGGGCTACTGAGAGTTTCTTGACAGAAACACACAGTAACTGATTTTGGCCCAACCTGGAATTTTATTTAGATAGAACACCACTGTAAAATATTAGCATAGTACAGGTGCATTTCGTATGGTCGATTACGAGGATTAGAGACTGGTAACAAGGCATTCCATCTTAGTCCTTAGAGATAACCAAGCATCTAAATTTTCATTTTAAACAGAGTAAAGTAAGAGTTTACATAGCATCTACTTACAAGTTTTATCAAACGAGGTGGAGTATGTGCTCGTTTGCCCCCTAACTAGTTTGTATAATAAATTACGACCTTAAATATTTTCAGCAAAGTTTATCACCTAAATAAATATTGTCAACAGAATTTATCCGCTGGAAGTTTCCATACAAGTTGGTGGCAAATCTAAATGACAACAATATGGACTCCTTTATAAGTGACTTTGAAGATAACAAAGTGAAGGCGCTCATCTTTGAGGAGAGACCCAGCATACGGCTGAGATATCTCGTCACAGCATTCCACTATCGGGAGAGAGTTTCTTTCGCGTAAGTCTATTCTAAAGTCGCACAATATAACTAGCTATCCGCCCCGGCTTCGCACTGGTGATTACTGGATCTCGACAACAGCGCCACCTACCGTGTCCAAATGTGAATCTAAACCATCTAGGGACCCATTCAAACACACAAAATATTTCATCAAAATCGGCCGAGCCATTTAGGAGTTTTAGCGAGAGTAACGGACAAGAATTGATTTTTATATTTAGAGATTGTTAATAAAACATTAGTGTATAATTATACAACGTGGCTGCTACAATGGTGACTTTAATTTAACACACGGGTAGGGCTAGTGTCCATTAATCATATTAATTTTGATAGGTAAAATAACTCCTAACTTGAAAAAAAAATTTTTTCAAAGAAACTTAATAATATAAAAGTAACTTAAATTGGGATTACCCTTGCAAAATTTGATTCATGAAATTACTCACCTAGCTGGCTTACGTTAACTCGGAGTGGCAACGCGTCGCTTCGCGCGCTGGCAACCGCGCAACGCGTCATGTACCTACTCGTGATCGGTCCGAGTCTTTGACGGCTTATTATCAAAGAAACTGAGCGGCGCCGGAGAGTACCTACAGCGGAGGTGCTTAGTCAAACACTTATCATATCACCCGGTCTTGTTACTATTAGTTATAACTGTCACCACTAATCACTGCTTTTGTTTGTCTTTATTTTAAATTTTCTTATTTTCAATGAGACCATTGTGTTGGCGGCTGCTAAACTAAACGGCGTTTCATGTTTTCCCGCGCATTTGAAAATAAATAGTTTTTCATTATAGCCATTTCCCTCAATTTCAAAAACTCCTTTATTATTCGATGGCGTAATTGTTCCACCGAATCCACGTTCTTTCGTCGTTTCTAATGCACCCCCAGAAAAAAAATCGAGTGGTGTTAGGTCTGGCGATTTTGCTGGCCACCTACGAGGTCCAAATCTACCAATCCATTGTGCACCAAACGTATCATTTAGCCACTGCCTGGCTGTTGTTACAGAGTGTGCTCGCGTGCCATCTAAATGGTACCACATTCGTTGGTGTCTATGGACGTTTAAATTGTTTGTGTATTCTGACACCGTAGCATTTAGTAGATTTACAAACCTTTCTCCGTTCAAAGCTCCATCAATGAATAGAGGTCCGATGATGTACTCACCGTAAATAGCTGCCCAAACATTTGCCGAAAATCTGTACTGATGGGCTGACTCCCGCCAAACGCGCGGATTTTGGTTTCTGCGTGCCCATTGGTGCAGATTGTGCTGGTTCCACATGCCGTTTCTGGTGAACGTGCTTTCGTCAGTCCAACAAATTTAGGAAAGAAAGTCACTGTCCTGTTCCATTTTATTCAGTAACCACTGACAATAATTCACTCTTATTAATTTATCACGCGATAGCAGAGTATGTACTTTTCTAAACTTGAATGGATGCCACTTTTCGCGCTTTAATATCCCATGGACGGTTCTGTGATGGACTTGAAAATGCCTAGCGCCCTGGCGGAGGCTAGTTTTGGGTTGGTCTTCGAAATAATGTATCATATTTTCAGTTAATTGCATTGGGTTTTGTTATGTAGGCGGTCGATCAGGGCATTGAGACAACCCTCCACCTCCCTGGCCCCACCAACCTTACGGTTATACGGGCCGAATCTCGAGAGATGCACGCGGTACTTGCTCAAGGCTCTTTCCCGCGTGTACTGTCTTAACTCTCTACAAGTTATTTACTCTAGTCCTTGTCCCATTATGTCACTCTCCCTTTCTGGGCTGGACAAACACAGCACTACTTTGGTTCCGGGCTGGTCTTCATTTGTGAAGGCGCATCTCTCCATGGCAGTCCTCCTTGTATGCCAACCGTGCGCAAACTCACGTAGCCGGCCAAAGCTCTCCTGACCGTCCACGAGATCCGGGTAGTAAACCGGACCAATCTTTTCGCGTACCATTCCATCCATCATCTTACACCGCAGGTCGTCATAAAGCACACACTCCCACAGAACGTGGTGCCTGTCCTCGTAGGCCGCTCCACACTCACACATACTCGATTCAGTCAATTTCATATCAAACAATCTCTTTCTGAAACATCCATGCCCACTGAGGATCTGTGAGACTTGATAGTCCGGCACGACTATCAAGTCTCACAGATCAACACAAACAAAAGTGTCCGTATCGCAAGAGATGTAAACTTAGCCACTAGATTAGAAAACGTCTTTATCGCAATACCATAATCTAATTACTATCCTCATTACACAAAAATATTAATAAATAAAACAATAGGTAAGCATCTTTTTCGCGGAAAAGTTCACAATAATATGCGAACTACTGTGAAAAAGTGTTTCAAGGACACGGATTCGGCTAGCACTAAAAAAAGCAAAAAAAAAAATAATTCGATTTCGGCGCGTCGGACTCGCCTGCGCAACCCGCTCGCCGACAAAGGTATGTTTCTTTTCTTCAATAGTATTGCTTATTCGTTTTAATTTCAATGATGCGATCTTATGATCCGTGACCCCGTCAAATGACCGCTGCGCTACAGTTCTCTAAGTACAGGTTGCTCTAAGATGCTATTTTCTAAAATTTTAAATAAACCCGTAAATAATAACGTTTAATGGAAATATAATTTCTTCGTGAAACGAAAATGTGAAAACGTATATGTGTGTTAAAGTCACCATTGTTGCTGCACGTTGTGTATTATTATTAGTATCCCCGAGTAGTGGCGGATAAGAATACCCACTACACCATATCTTCCCGTGGATGTCGTTAGAGGCGATAGAGGGAAACTGAGGCAGAAGATGGGCAGCAGCATCTATCTGATAACAGGCAAAACAACAATAAAAAAACTGAGGTTGCCAACCCACTCGCCAAGCGTGGCAGCTATGGCAATATACCCCCTATGATTAAAGTTGCGAAGAGACAGCCCCCAGTCCCCGGCGACCCCGTTTTTCCTGGCTACGGTGACGACCATGGTAACGGCGGCGCAGGGGCTGCTAAGAATCTCCGGTGGAGGTCCGGTTGCCACCTAAGACGCCGCCTCGACCTGGCAACATATAACGCACGCACCCTGAGGAGTGACGAGAAGATCCTGAAGTTGGAAAAAGAGATTAGACAAGTAGCGCTGGAATATTATAGGATTATCTGAGGTCCGAAGAGAGGAGGAGGACATGGTAATCCTCGAATCCGGCAACTTGTTCTATCACCGGGAGGGCGACGTCCCAAGAAGGTGTCGGATTTATCGTCCACAAGTCGTTAACAACGTTGTAAAGATTGAGAGACGAGGGTGGCGTACCTTATTCTCAGAATCACGAAACAGTATTCGCTGAAGGTCATACAGGTTTACGCACCAACCTCTGCACATCCCGATGAGGAGGTGGAGGAAATGTATGAGGATATATCTAGAGCTATGCATTCCTCCTAAACCCACTATACGGTGTTAATGGGAGACTTCAACGCAAAATTAGGCACAAGAGAACGATGAGCTGAAGATAGGGAAATTTGGAATAAGGCAACTGAACCCAAGGGGTCGGCAGCTGGCCGACTTCATGGAGAAAGAGGGACTCTTTATGATGAACTCTTTCTTCCAGAAGCGGCCCCCCATGAAGTGGATCTGGTCGAGCCCCGACGGTTCGACAAAAAATGAGATTGACTTCATTATGACGACCAGACGACAACTGTTCACTGATGTCTCAGTGATCGCGAGGGTGAAAACAGGCAGCGATCACCGAATGGTGAGAGGCACACTGAACCTAAACGTTAAGTTGGAGAGGTAACGTCTAATGAAGCCAACGCACCGTTCCCCTCGTGCTCTAATCCAAAATCCCGATACCTTTCAGCTCGAGTTACAAAACTGTTTTCAGTGCCTAGTAGTAGATTGCAATGCCGTGGACGATATGAATAACAAGCTCGTGGAAACTGTCCATGTGGTCGGAGCTAAGTTTTGCAAGACCTGCCGCAAAAGAACACAAAAACTCTCCAATCAAACTCTTAATCTCGTGGCTGTTAGACTGGAAATGAAGCTCAGCTTCAGTAGATTTGACAGCATACAGGCAACTGAACAGACAGATCTCCAAATGCATGAGGCGGGACTTACGCAACTTTAATACTGCTCGTATTGAAGAAGCGATCGAGCGGAACCATGGCTCCAAAGTCTTTGCTAGAGATCTGTCATCCAGAAAGAGCCAACTGTCGAAGCTGAAGACCGAGTGTGGCAGCGTCGTTTCCGGGACACCTGATATTTTGAGTGAGATTGAGAGGTTCTATGGGCTGTACACATCATCGTTAGAGCCACACGCAAGTGTGAGTAACGATCCAAGAGCAAGTCTTATCCGACACTATTCCGTTGATATTTCGGACGCCAGTCTGAGCGAGATTAGAATGACTCTCCAGCATCTTATAAACGACAAGGCTCCAGGCGAGGATGGAATTACAGCGGAGCTTCTGAAAGCGGGTGGAAAACCGATACTTGAAGCTCTTTAATTCTGTCCTCCATGGTGGCACTACACCGAAGGCATGAAGCAGAAGTGCGGTGATCTTGTTCTTCAAGAAAGGCGACAACGCTCTCTTGAAGAACTACATACCGATTCCCCTTCTGAGCCGCGTCTACGTGGTGTTTTCGAGAGTCATTACGAATCTCCCGAACGAGCCGGTTTCCGAAAAGGCTTTAGCACCATAGACCACTTACATACCCTTCGGCAAATTGTACAGAAGTCCGAGGAGTACTATTTGCCACTATGTCTGGCGTATGTGGATTATGAAAAAGCCTTTGATTCTGTCGAAATTTGGGCGGTGCTGCAGTCCCTTCAGTGGTGCCAAGTTGACTGTCGGTATATCGAAGTGCTGAAGTGTTTGTACAGTAGGGCTACGATGGCTAGCCGAGTACAGAACCAGAGTACGAAACCTATCCCAACTGCAGAGAGGTGTAAGACAGGGTGACGTTATATCCCGGAAACTGTTTACCGCTGCATTGGAAGACGGAAAGCTTCTGGATTGGAAAGGATACGGTATTAACATCAATGGCGAGT